ATCCCTTTGTTTCTTCAGGACTTTGGGGGGGAAAAGACCTTCCATGTTCTGTGATTTCTATTTTGTTGTTCTTCCTTCTAATGGTCTATTTTATTTTATTTATATTTTAAACTTTTGCATAATGTCTAAAATCTGTATCTAATTTACCTCCTGCAAACCTGGAGTCCCTGACTGGGAGAAACTATGAACAATAATAATACTGAGAATCATAGAGTTGGAAGAGACCTCATGGGCCATTCAGTCCAAGCCCATTCTGGGGGAGATAGAGCAGGGTATAAATAAAGTTTTATATTATTATTATTATTATTATTCTGCCAAGGAGCAGGAAAATCGCATTCAAAGCACCCCCGACAGATGACCATCCAGCCTCTGTTTAAAAGCCTCCAAAGAAGGAGCTTGCGCCACACTTCGGGGCAGAGAGTTCCACTGCTGAACAGCTCTCACAGTCAGGAAGTTCTTCCTAATGTTCAGGTGGAACCTCCTTTCCTGTTGTTTGAAGCCATTGTCCCATAGTGTCGTAGTCTCCAAGGCAGCAGAAAACAAGCTTGCTACCTAGAATTATAGAATCAAAGAGTTGGAAGAGACCTCATGGGCCATCCAGTCCAACCCCCTGCCAAGAAGCAGGAATATTGCATTCAAATCACCCCTGACAGATGGCCATCCAGCCTCTGTTTAAAAGCTTCCAAAGAAGGAGCCTCCACCACACTCCGGGGCAGAGAGTTCCACTGCTGAACGGTTCTCACAGTCAGGAAGTTCTTCCTCATGTTCAGATGGAATCTCCTTTCCTGTAGTTTGAAGCCATTGTTCCATTGCGTCCTAGTCTCTAGGGCAGCAGAAAACAAGCTTGCTCCCTCCTCCCTGTGACTTCCTCTCACATATTTATATATGGCCCTCACCATGTCTCCTCTCAGCCTCCTCTTCTTCAGACTAAACATGCCCATCTCTTTGAGCCAGTCCTCCTAGGGCTTGTTCTCCAGACCTTTGATCATTACCTTTTTACCTTACCACCTTCGTTGCAAATTTTCCAGTTTGTGAATGTTGTTTTTCAGCTGGGATTCCAGAATTGAAGACAGTGCTTCTGTTAAAGCCAAGCCAAAGGAAAAGATGCTTGCAATCTTATTTCCCTTGATGTACAAATTGTATCTCTGGTTAGCACGTCCTGTCTGTTTCCCTGCTCCTGGCACACACACTTTTAATCCATATTAAAATGAAAAACATGAGTCTTATTATTTTAGAATTAACAATGTTAGAGACTGAGATAATTTGATCTATTTTGCCAAAATTTAAGTCCCTGGATCTTATAAATTAAGGAAATAAGTTTGTCTGTGTAGTGCAGGCCTGGGCAAACTTTGGTCCTCCAGGTGTTTTTGAACTTCAACTCCCACAATTCTTTTTATTATTAATAATATTATTACATTTCTATTCCATTTCATTACAAAATACTTCTCACTTCCCCCATTGTGCTCCCGTCATGCTTCTTTTCTTTGTGGTCCCACCAGAACTTCATTTCTTCTTGTGAAGGTTGCTTCACTAGATCTCTGCCATTTTTTATGGTGTCATAAATTAACCTCCCCACTTTAAGCAGTCTCTAATTTCTCTACTCACAGCTTAGCTGTTTTCTAAGTGCTTAGGTGAACAGTAAGCTGGGCTATTAACAGTCAGGAGCTCAAACCTGACTTGGGCGTCGAACTTGCCACCTTCTGGTCGGCAGTGATTTATTGCCACTAGTGATTAACCAGCTGTGCTATAACCTGGCCCTGAAAGCACATGGGCGAAAAATATTGAAGAAACATTGAAAAAAGAAGATGGGAAGTAATGCTCACTAGAAGAACTGACACTGAGCCTTTGATTGTTGTATTTCCTCCTTGCTCTTTGATCACCAACATTTTTATGGTGTCATAAATTAACCTCCCCGCTTTGAACGGTCTCTAATTTCCCTCCAACATTTTTTCGAACAGCTCTTAACCATATTATGTATCTCTATCAGGGTCAAGTACCATTTCCATATTATTTTGTAGTAATTTTCTTTCATTCTGATGGATAAATTCTTGAGGCATTTTGCTCTCCATAATCTTCCCCAAATCCTTTCTCCTATTTTTGTTCCCAGTTCCTCCTCCCACAGTTCCCTTGCTTGTGTCCTTGATTAGCATTTAATGTCCTAGCAGTTTCAAGGTCTGGCTTCTTACTGCCTGGGGGGAATCCTTTGTTGAGAGGTAATTAACTGCCCCTGATTGTTTCTTCTCTGGAGTTCCCCTGTTTCTGAGTGTTGTTCTTTATTTACTGTTATGATTTTAGAGGTTTTTTTAAATACTAGTAGCCAGATATTGTTCATGCTTGTGGATTTCAGTGACTTCCCTGTGTAGTATTATTATACTGTCTCCCCCCACCCCTTAATATCTTATGTTTTTTGTTTTATGCTGCACCCTGGGCCCGTCCACAAAGCCATATAACCCTGAATATCAAGGCAGAAAATCCCACATTATCTGCTTTGAACTGGAATATATACCAGTGTGGACTGAGATAACCCAGTTCAAAGCAGATATTGTGGGATTTTCTGCCTTGATATTATGGGATATAGGGCTGTGTGGAAAGGCCCCTTGAGTGACTTGTAAGCCGCCCCGAGTCCTTTTGGGGAGATGGTGGCAGAATATAAAGATTATTATTGTTGTGTGCCCCCCCCCCCCATTTAATCTCTATTGATATCATACTGGTTATCCTTTTCTGAAACCCATTTTCTTCTTTCATCTGTTCTTTTAATATTTTTTCAATTTTCCTAAGCTCTTTCCCCGCTAAGCTTTCCCCCCTCCAACTTGTATGTATGTATTTTATCTTTTACAATTTAGCTGTAAATCGCCTAGAGCATTCTCGGATGGAGGGATTAATAAGTAATTAAATGATGATGATGATGATGATGATGATGAACTTCTAAACCATTGCTACAATTGTATCCACTGGTACCATGATATATGTAATTCTCTTGAGTGCTCTAACTGGAGTCAGCTGTGACCAGCAGTGCTGCATAAATTGGAAGAGGCACGAGTGGAGGGTGAAAATGAGACACATACCAAGAGGAAGGTGCATCAAGCCATCTCTTACTTATAGGTATAAGTGGGTCAGAGATGGCTTGATGCACCTTCCTCTTGGTATGTGTCTCATACCTTCCTCTTGGTATGTGTCTCATGACTGGAAATCTGTGACACTCTTCTAACACAACTCTGATTTCTCAAAGGTGATTTCCCAAGGACCGTGGGCAAAAACAGCCTGTATTGTCGAAGGCTTTCATGGCCAATCACTGGGTTGTTGTAGGTTTTTCGGGCTATATGGCCATGTTCTAGAGGCATTTTCTCCTGACGTTTCGCCTGCATCTATGGCAAGCATCCTCAGAGGTAGTGAGGTCTGTTGGAACTAGGAAAATGGGTTTATATATCTGTGGAATGACCAGGGTGGGACAAAGCACTTGGAACACTCTTCCCGTGGACATTAGACTGGCTCCTTCCCTGATGATATTCCGCAGGAAATTAAAGACTTGGTTGTTCAAGAAGGCGTTCGAACAAGAAGTGCAATGATTGATAATGACTATAGGAATGGAACAACGGAAATGATACTGGATTGTGGTTTGGACGATGAGACGACGCTGAATGGTTTTCGTAGTAATGACGATGTTTTTGTATAATGCTGGATTGTGAATTGTTTTATACTGTGTCTTGAATTTTGTGGTTCCTATGTTGTACACCGCTGTGAGTCGCCCCTGGGCTGAGAACAGCGGTATATAAGCAACGTAAATAAATAAATAATAAGTAATTGCCTGCTGGAGCTAGGTGTGAATGTTTCAACTGACCACCTCGATTAGCATTTGATTGCCTGGAGCAATCTTTTGTTGAGAGGTGATTAGATGTCCTTGTTTATTTCCTCTCTGCTGTTTTGCTGTTCTAATTTTAGYGTTTTTTTTTTTAATGCTGGTAGCCAGATTTTGTTCATTTTCATGGTTTCCTCCTTTCTGTTGAAATTTCTGTCCACATGCTTGTGGATTTCAATGGCTTCTCTGTGTAGTCTGACATGGTGGTTGTTGGAGTGGCCCAGCATTTCTGTGTTCTCAAATAATATCCTGTGTCCAGGTTGYTTCAACCAGAGAAGTCAGCCATAGCAGAACACCTGATGAACCAATGCTGGGCAAGGAAGGGTTAAGGGGAGGGAGTGTGGTTCCCAGAGAGGCAGGAAGGAAGTGGGCCTTCCTGCCCCTCTAGGAACCAAACTCCCTTCATTTCACCCTTCCTTGCCTGGCTGGGAGAGAAGAGAAGAGTTTCCCCCTTTGGTCTCTCCTTCCTCCTCCTTCCCTTCCTCCTTCTGGTGAGTCTTCTTCCCATTCCTTCTCTCCAAGAAAAAAGCCCCCCGAAGCCTGTTGTCTAATTCTGCCTTTCTTTCACAGAGGAAATGTGATTTTTGGCTGAGAATTTTGGAGTCGAGCCTGTTGTGGGATTTCTTTCCCTTGAGAGAAGACGGATACAGTTGGGTTCTTCATCAAACACTGGTTCCAACATGGAGAGACCCAGCTCACTTGGAACTGAAGCAGGCAAGGTCTCTGGGAGCAGTGGGGACTCCTGGGAAATAACTACACAGATGATCCTGGATAAACACATACAGTTCCAGTGCTTCAGGCAGTGTGGGGCAGAGACCTCTTCCCAGGCGGTGGCCCTGGCGGAAGGCTTCCTCCTGAGTCGGGCAGAGGACGAAAAGCAGGAAGGACAGGTGAGAGCATTGCCTCTTGGCTTCACTCGCCTGGGGACTGATATATAGATTAAACGTACGTCCTGCCTTCCTTCCAAGATGGGACTGATGTGAGGGAGAGGCCGGACTCTGCTCCCTCGGCCTCTTTTCCCCCCCTGCTCTGCCCCTCCTGCTCTCACCTCCATATCCACTGTGAGCTCAGTTGCTGTTCTACTCAAATTTGATGACCCTGATCTTTCTCCATACTACATCTGGGATTTTCTGTGCTCTTCTAGGCCCAAAATGACTGCATTGAGGTTCACCCTGATGTCCCTGAATCCGAGAAACCTGCACCAGGCACCACCCAGATCCTCCAGCGAAAGGAGTTCAAGCAGGAAGGAGATGGGGCTGCAGCCTTGGAGGGTAAGGAAGAAACCCTGTTTTATACTGGTGTAACTTCCCCTTCAGGGGATTGTAACAAATGCACAATCCGTTTGAGCTAGAGAAGGCATACACGTAGGATCATTTGGCTTTGAGATGAGTATATAGGTAAGCATTTGGTTGCAAAATATGTAATTTCAGTGTGATTTGGAGTTTTCCTTATTGTTATACTTCTACATTTGCATACTGTTGTGTGGGACTGAAATATCAGCCATATGGTATGTTCCCGGGTGAAACCCGAAGCTACGCTGAGACCTGAAACTGAGCTGGAAGACAAACAGACAACAAAGAATAACGTTAGTCCTTGGAACTACCAAGCCCAGTACTACTTTCAGTCCCACCTATTCACAGCACTGCATGAGAAGAAAAAGTGCTGAACTCCAAAACTTTACAATTCCTGGGCTGGAGGATGCTCCTGTCTTCATAGAGTCATTTCCTCATAGGTTTCTTTTTAGGGCTGTAATTCTCTCCTCTGAGGCATGTTTCTGTGATCAATGTATTGTTGAAGTCTTTCATGGCCGGAATCCATGGGTTGTTGTAGGTTTTTCCGGGCTATATGGCCATGTTCTGGAGGCAATTTTTCTCCTGACGTTTCGCCTGCATCTATGGCAAGCATCCTCAGAGGTTTCCACCCCTTGCTCTCTTTCTCTCTCTCTCCCAGGGGCTGGAATGACGTTGTGGCCGAATCTAGAGTCACATCTTCCGCTTTGTGATGGAGTGGAACTGAATCAGGTAAACAGAAGGATTCCTGGGAGAGGAGGAAGGGAGCTGCCTGGGGGCCATTGGTTCAAGGTTCAATCACCAATCATCTTTTGAAACAGAACCATTTCCAAAGATTCTTGTAATTCTTTTTCTTGATTTCCCTTATTTTCCTTTTTCCACCAGGGCCCAATTGCCTTTGAGGACGTGGGTGTCCATTTCTCTTGCGAGGAGTGGGCTCTCCTGAGTCCCGGTCAGAAAGCCTTGCACGGGCAGATCATGGAGGAGATTCATGGGATGGTGGACTCTCTTGGTAAGGATCACCCATTGTTGGGAACTTCTATTTCAAAATGCAGGATCCCAGTCAGCAGCTCTCTGGTGGAAGTGATTCCACCAGAGAGCTGATCATAGAATCATAGAATCAAAGAGTTGGAAGAGACCTCATGGGCCATCCAGTCCAACCCCCTGCCAAGAAGCAGGAATATTGCATTCAAATCACCCCTTACAAAGCTTCCAAAGAAGGAGCCTCCACCACACTCTGGGGCAGAGAGTTCCACTGCTGAACGGCTCTCACGGTCAGGAAGTTCTTCCTAATGTTCAGATGGAATCTCCTCTCTTGTAGTTTGAAGCCATTGTTCCGCGTCCTAGTCTCCAAGGAAGCAGAAAACAAGCTTGCTCCTCCTCCCTGTGGCTTCCTCTCACATATTTATACATGGCTATCATATCTCCTCTCAGCCTTCTCTTCTTCAGGCTAAACATGCCCAGCTCCTTAAGCCGCTCCTCATAGGGCTTGTTCTCCAGACCCTTGATCATTTTAGTCGCCCTCCTCTGGACACATTCCAACTTGTCAATATCTCTCTTGAATTGTGGTGCCCAGAATTGGACACAATATTCCAGGTGTGGTCTAACCAAAGCAGAATAGAGGGGTAGCATTACTTCCCTAGATCTAGACACTATGCTCCTATTGATGCAGGCCAAAATCCCATTGGCTTTTTTTTGCCGCCACATCACATTGTTGGCTCATGTTTAACTTTTGTCCACGATTATCAATGCCTCCCTGAGTCAAGGACACGTGCCATCTTGCCTGAAACAGGCCATAGTGAGGCCAGTCCTGAAGAAGGCTTCCCTTGACTTAGCAGTTTTGAATCACTACCGACCAATCTCCAATCTTCCGTTCTTGGGCAAGGTTCTGGAGCGGGTGGTCGCTACTCAGCTCCAGGGATTCTTGGACCATACTGATTATCTGGACCCATTTCAGTCTGGCTTCAGGCCTGGTCACGGTAGCGAGACGGCTTTGGTCGCCTTGGTGGATGATCTCCGCAGAGAGCTTGACAGGGGGACTGTGTCCTTGTTGGTTCTCTTGGACATCTCAGCGGCTTTCGATACCTTCAACCCTGGTAGCCTTCTGGGTCGACTCTCGAGGAGGGTCTCGGAGGCGCTGCACTCAAGTGGCTCCGTTCCTTCCTTGAGGGCCGTACCCAGTCGGTGAAGCTGGGGGACACCTACTCGGACCCCTGGCCATTGACCTGTGGGGTCCCACAAGGTTCCATTCTTTCCCCCATGCTATTTAACATCTACATGAAACCACTGGGTGAGATCATCTGGAGTTTTGGAGTTCAGTGCCATCTCTACGCGGATGACACTCAACTCTATTACTCTTTTCCACCAGATTCCAAGGAAGCCCCTCGGGTCCTGGACCAGTGCCTGATGGCTGTGATGGGCTGGATGAGGGCTAACAAGCTGAAGCTTAATCCTGACAAAACAGAGGTCCTCCTGGCCAGTCATGGGACTGATCGGGGCATAGGGTAGCTACCTGTGCTCGATGGGGTCGCACTCCCTCTGAGGACACAGGTCCGCAGCTTGGGGGGTCCTTCTGGACTCCGCTTTGACACTTGATGCTCGGGTGTCGGCGGTGGCTGGGAGGGCCTTTGCACAGTTAAAGCTCATGCGCCAGCTGTGCCCATACCTCGTGAAATCTGATCTGGCCATGGTGGTCCATGCCCTAGTCACCTCTAGGTTGGATTACTGCAATGCGCTCTATGTGGGGTTGCCCTTGAATAATAAATAAATAAATAAATAAAACAAACTAACTTTATTTATACCCTGCTACAATCTCCCCAGGGGACTCGGTGCGGCTTACATGAGGCCGAGCCCACAACACATCAATAATAAAAGCAGTAACAAGAGTAATACAAAACAATAAAATAAAAGTCATAACAGAAAATAACAATAAAACATTAACAATAACACAACGGTGTTTAAAAATCTATGGCTGGGCCAAATGTAATAATTAAAATTTTTTAAATATGCTGAGCATATTTGAAGACGGCCCGGAAACTACTCAGGGGAGCTGGTTACAGAGAGCGGTCAACCCCCCTGTTTAAACAGCTCTACTGGCTTCCAATAAGTTTCCGGTCCCAATTCAAGGTGCAGGTCATCAATTGTGAGGTTATTTGTTTTATCTGATGTTTTAATTGGTTAAAGTGTTTTACATGTGTGTTTTAATTGTAATCTTGGGCGTGTCCCTTGTAAGCCGCCCCAAGTCCCCTCGGGGAGATGGTTGGTGGGGTATAGAAATAAAATTATTGTTATTATAATCACGAAGGTCCTCAAAGCAGGGCTTATGTTAGAAATATATAGAATCATAGGATCATAGAGTTGGAAGAGACCTCGTGGGCCATCCAGCCCAACCTCCTGCCATGAAGCAAGACAATCATGTTCAAAGCACCCCCAACAGATGGCCATCTAGCCTCTGTTTAAAAGCCTCCATCCAAGGAGTTTCCACCACACTTCGGGGCAGAGAGTTCCATTGCTGAACAGCTCTCTCAGTTAGGAAATTCTCCCCAATGTTCAGGCCGAATCTCCTTTCCTGTAGTTTGAAGCCATTGTTCCATTGCGTCCTAGTCTCCAGGGCAGCGGAAAACAAACTTGCTCACATATTTATACATGGCCCCCATCATGTCTTTTCTCAGCCTTCTCTTTTGCAGCCTAAACATATCCAGCTCTTCAAGCCGCCCCTCATAGGGCTTGTTCTCCAGACCCTGGATACTTTTAGTCGCCTGTCATGTATCATGTTCTGCAGTTGATAGTGGTGGGTGGTGGCAGGCTTAGCGGTTGGTGATGGAAGGGTTAATTTAAGTCTTAGTTCTAAAGGGTTGAGTAATCTGTTAGTAAGAGTTAATGGGTGAAAGCAATTAAGGGTGGAGGTGTGCAAGAGATGGGTTGCAGCTGGGTATTTCTGGATATAAGGAGCTAGCCTTGGAACTGATTTTCGGGAGAAAAGTATTCTGTCACATTGCCAGGGCTCTGCCGTATTCAGGTAGAGATGAACCAAACAAATTCCCAGTTTGAGTTAAACAATTTAACTAAAACAGCCAGAAAGTAAGTGCTGTTTCAATTAAATTGTTTAACTCACACTGGGAATTTGTTTGGTTAATCTCTACCTGAATACGACAGAACCTGGCAATGTGACATCGCCCTCCTCTGGAACCGTTCCAGCATGTCAATAGCTCTCTTCAATTGCTGTGCCCATAATTGGACAAAGTATGATTCCAGGTGTGGTCTAACTAAGGCAGAATGGAGCATGGGGAGCATGACTTCCCTGGATCTAGACACTAGACTCCTATGTATGCAGGCCAAAATCTCATTGGCTTTTTTAGCTGCAGCATCACATTGTTGGCTCATGTTTAACTTGTTGTCCACAAGGACTCTTAAGTACAAATATAGTAATATTAGCGGTCCCCTGCCATGCATTGCTGTGGCCCAGGCTGGTGATCTGGAAAATAAAGTAATGAGAAAGTGTTTGTTTCTAATGTATGTAATGCTCGTGGGTAAACAGTATTTCTTGCTGGTTCTTTGCCAGTGTTGATGTGGAGATTGTCTGGTTTGCCTACTCTGGAACATGCAACATATAATTGTCCTTCTTTAGGGGTCCCTTTCAAATCTTTGATACTGCATCTGTCATATACATATATATGTGTGTGAATGGCTGGATGGCCCTTTGTCAGGAGTGCCTTGATTATGTTTTCTTGCCCTGGTGAAGGGAGTTGGACTGGATGGCCTTAAGGCAGCATTTCTCAACCTGGGAAGTCAAGGCCCCCTGGGGGGGGGGGTGTCGCCAGGGGAGTGTTAGAAGGGTCACCAAAGACCACTAGAAAACACAGTATTTTCTGTTGGTCATGGGGGTTCTGTGTGGGATGTTTGGCCCAATTCCATCATTGGTGGGGTTTGGAATGCTCTTTGATTGTAGGTGAACTATACATCCCAGCAACTGCAACTCCCAA